TGCTAGATCAGAGACAAAGAGATGTTACAATTAGGTAAATACATGAGAGAGAGATACCTGTGTTATTGCATTAAATTTCTTTTTACTATACTACAAACGTTAGCTAAATTACGTCTAAATTAAAGTAAAACTTTTATATGATGACAATAAAACGGATATTGTAACAAGATAAATTGTATTAAATTTTTTTTATTTAATTGGGAATATATAGGAATAGCCGTATACCATCCGCGGATTCGATTCCTCAACAAGTAGACGCATCGATTCGCGAGAGCGCATCGACAACGACACTTGGAAATCACACTGGCCAGCAAATGTCCAGACAGACCTTACAGGTAGAGACTATAATCAGAGTCTGATCACAAGAAAATCCGGCATTTTTCTTCAAAATTATGCGAGAGAAAAATATGCGCTATCTCACTCTTACTTACTCTAGAGTGGCGCTGTGGAACTGGAAATGTAGCACCTCTATAAGCTTCATAGCGAACATAAATAAATTCGCGATGAATATACGTAGTTTTGTGTAATCCAACTTTTTTTCGATTTTGCATAATATCTATATTTCTTTCTGAGTAAAAATAGTTGAATCTACCAGCACTTTTTTGCAATAATCTATGGTCAAAAGACTAGATAATGAAATACATTTCAAACAACTGCAACGAATTGAAAAAAAATGTCGGGTCAATCACGGACATAGCTATATTGTGGCCAGACTCTGATTATAGGCTCTCTATTTACAGGCATTAAGTGCAGTACCGCGTCCACGAATTGTTCAAGGTGATCAGTGGGTCCAGCGAAGGAAAAGTGACGTACCTAGAGGAGCTAATGATGTGAACTATCAACATTGGCTTATTCAAGTGCGTATTAATATTATTTATATTAATTGGCACATTATGTATAAATTTATTTTTTTAATATAATGCTATAATTTTTAAAGAGATACATTAACTCCATTACAAAATTTGTTCAATAATCATTTATTGTTAAAATAAGATTTTTTATTTTTTTTTTTAATTTTTCAGTTATATTCCAATGTTTATCATGTATTCTATTAAATTTCTAACAAAATCTAATATACTTATCTAGTAAGGTATCATGAGATAAGTTCTATCTCAATTAATTTCTCAACAGGAGGCAGAACAAAGGAGGATTAATGAGAGAAATCAACGATCACCAGCGAGAAAATCTCAACCGCATGTAACTGGCACTTCCGTACCATATAACGCTCCAATTCGGACAGATAACAAACCGCTACCCGATTCTATCATACAAACTCTAACGCAAAGGGTACAGAGTAAAACGCAGGAGAAACCTCTTTTAACAAGGCGAAGGTAAATTTAACTAGTTTTCGACGATTTACAAAAAAATTGATTTTACGAACTACTGATATTTTTTTAATAATAATATACAACGAAGCAAAATTTTGTAATAATCATAATTATTTATCAATATATAATAATTTTTCAATAAAAATAAAATATATTCTTTTATTTTTTACTTCTATATTTGATATTTAAACTTTTTTTTCAAAGGCTTGTTTTTTATGAATTATAAAAGAACATTTTTTCAGGCCAGAGCAAGTTCACAATCAAGAACACTTGACTGTGCAACATCAATCACCACAGTATACACTACAATCTCAAAAAACACAACATACGCCAATCGCGAATAACAGCGGAAATCAAGAAAAAATGCTTAGCGTGAGTGGAAAGAAGAAATGTTCACATTGCGGGGAGGAATTAGGTAATGTAGTAAATTAGTTAAAACATTCTTTCATCGTTATAAATATCTTTATGATTCTTTAGGTCGAGGCGCTGCGATGATAATCGAAAGTCTACGATTGTTTTATCATATGGAGTGCTTCAAGTGTTGCGTATGCCATGTACGTCTCGGCGATGGATTAATGGGAACGGACGTGCGCGTTCGAAATCATAAACTCCACTGCCATAACTGCTACTCCAGCGACGATGGTACAAACATTTAATTCGTCAAATAATTATATGATCATACACGTTGTGATTTCAAGAGCATTCGTTAAAATACACATTATCCTCGATATAGTTAAAAAAAGACCGTTTTAAAATTTTCATTTTAAAAATAATTGCAAATGTACAATATTCATTAATCTCTTGAAAGTTTTATATCGTAAAACATAAAGACAATAATTAACGCAATTATAAATTATAAATATGTAAAAACCAGTAAAATATTTTCATCTCAGAATTTACTACATTGCTGTTAAATTTTCAGGTGTCAAGTTCAGTTGTGTGTAGAAGCCTGGTTAACGGAATTATGCTGATTAACTTAACTGTAACGCTTTCCGGCTATATACGATCATAATCGACCATTTAAGTTACCCTTATTTAAAAGTGTCATGTTGACACACGGCATAAAGCAAATTGCATAAACATAATTTTTTGACAGGTCAAATACGAAGAGGAATGAAGCTGTCCCTCGCGCGATATATTATTTTCCGTATGTTTTATTCAAAGTAATGAGTTTACACATGTATGCAATACTGTTTCTACCAACTAACACGAATCGTACGTGAAGGATGTATATAAAATGTATTTATGTAATTAGTCTAGACATAAGATAACTGTTGAAATGGTCTTAATTTGGATGTAACTGGCGTCACTTTACTGACGCTGTATATTTTTGTAATATAGTTCTCGTACTATTTATACCAGATATATCCAGTTTACAACGGTTATAACAGAATACACGCGAATGTTTTTTCAAGCAAAGTCTTCGATCTTTTTTTTTTTGGAAGCGAATAGCGTGAGGTTTCAGTATAATAATCAATTAATTAAATTTCGGCTTCGCGAAGCGGTCAAGATAAGAAATAGCGAATCTAGCAATATGCTAACGTAGTTCAAGCTTTAAAAAGATGTCGAGACCCCCTCTCTGGCACGCATACAGATGTGTGCTATTGTATTATTTTTTAAATTAAAATTTCCAATTTTTTTAACTAAAATTTATCAAATAATGCCAACGAGTATAAAAACGTAAAGTATTCTTTATATTAATAACTGAATTACATATTCTTTATATTAATAACTGAATTACATATATACAAACCAAACTCTTTTTAAAAAGCATCCTCTTTCTCTGGAGGAATATTAGTTTTAAAACTGTCAAGAATGTAGATTCGCCACTACTGAATCAAAATAAAACTTGTCGGTATTTCCGTACTCGATGGCATGTCTACAATTGACTCGACTTGATTGTACGTTTTAACATAAACAAGACGACGGTCTTTCAATCGCTTCCCGTAAATGTGTCAAAAACATGTTACATTGTGAAATATTGTAACATACGCGTCTCGTGTTATTAATGTAATTTTATATTATTGAAAAGAATAAATGTAAAACACATAAGATTGATTAATTCTGTAAAACATTTATTTCCTGTTTTGTGAAATTTTCTTACACTTCCAATTGAATCCAACTGAACGCTGAAATTGCAGCCGTAAAAAATTGATCGATCATAGTAGAGTATTCTCCTCATTCGATTGTAATTGGTCAATTTCTTACGGCTAAGGCCCAGTTTCACAACTCATGGTTAACTTTTAACCAAGGTTCAACTTGTTTTTCATCTTTTTCCAATTCTAAAATTGGAAAGAGACAATGAATAAGTTGAACTTCGATTATGAGTTAACCGTCAGTTGTGAAACTGGACCTTAGAGATAATAAGCCGCAAATCAGAACGTTAGAAGTCTTAGGCCCAGTTTCACAACTGACGGTTAACTCTTAATCGAGGTTTAACTTATTCATTATCTCTTTTCAATTCTAGAATTGGAAAAAAATGAGAAATAAGTTGAACCTCGGTTAAGAGTTAAAACCGTGAATTGTGAAACTGGGCCTTAACCAGTCTTAACCAAGTTGTTCAAGTTGGCTATTGGCCAACTTCACCGATTATGACTTAAGATCGCTTAGAACTTCTGACTTGCGGCTTATGAGGCGTCGTCTACAATACACGGAGTAAGAAGTAAGAGTAAGAAATTGACCAATCACAGTCGAATGTGAGAAGAATAATCGACTGTGATTGGTCAATTTCTTACTCACTGTATTGTAGACAGGCCTTCAGGCGTCGTCTACAATACAGTGAGTAAGAAGTAAGAGTAAGAAATTGACCAATCACAGTCGATTATTCTTCTCACATTCGACTGTGATTGGTCAATTTCTCACTCTTACTTCTTACTCCGTGTATTGTAGACGACGCCTTATAGAAGGCCTATAAGTTTTACGCCTTAAAATCTTGTAGACCCCGCTTAACATTCGTTTACGCAGCGGTTAGCGCAGAAGTATTATTACTTTATCCTTGTTGTTCACAGAGTGTTAAACAAGGATTAAATGATACTCTCTGCGATAACCGCTGCGTAACCCCGGATCTACAATAGGGGATCGATTCTGTATTTTGAAACAAGGTGAAAATTACAAAAGCGAATTTACTAGAATACTGATCATTTCATTGGTCAACACCTAGTAAATTTGCTCACTTTTGTAATTTTCACCTTGTTTGAAGATACAGAATCGACGCCTAGGTGTTTTAAGACAAGATAAATTTTCACGAGCTGCTCAAACCGGCTGTTTCAGCGACAAAAGGATCACGTGGTCAAAATTGACGAATATCAAGCGTCCATTTTGATCACGCGATCATTTTTGTCGCTGAAACCCGAAACAGCCGGTTGGAACAGCTCGTGAAAATTTACCTTTTTACCCTGCTTATGTTCTGGGGCTGTATTCTTGAAAAGAAACGTATACGAAAGTCTAGGGAAATACTATAGTATACGTAACGTATACTGTAGCATTTCCCTAGATTTTCGTATACGTTTCTTTTCAAGAATAGAGCCCCAGTAGGAAAACAAGCATCGTGTGCCGCCGGCTTAAGATGTGTTTACTTGTGCGAACTTGAATTTTTTGCTTTATCAATGAAACTCCATTTATGTATGTGTCGCAGCTGTGTAGAGGTGGTGTAAAGATATCAATGTAGAATATCAACGAAACTTGAAATTATAAAGAATAACGAACTGTTAAAAGGTGTCGCTTTTCAGGTTAGAAAATTATTATTATTTTCATCTTTCGAAAAAGTGATCTTATTTAAAAGCTACAATCAGTTATTTCCCAAAGAATTTATCTTTTTGAAGCAACGTGCTGTAGCATGTCATTCAAGTTTGTCATTTCATTATTACTGAAAATTTTGAGAAATACGTTTTGATTCCACCTGCTTGCATTCGATCGATGTGATCTTTTAACAAGTTATAAAATTTGTTTTTTTTATGCTGCACTAGACTGCATTAGTACTTTCCTTCTCACTTTTATCAAATTTCAAATATATACACTTCATTTCAAGTATAACAATAATAAATTAACAAATAAAATAAAAAATTAATAAAAAAAGTAAAATATCCCTTTCACAATATTGAGCAACAGTTCAAAATTATTCCTTCTATGTTTCGCTAATAAAGACATGCAACAGCAAGTTTCCTTCAAACAAATAAAGAAGTCATGTATGCACTAATATTTGCTATTTTATGCTTTTAGATATAAACAAAAATAGTATAAACCATGTGTTCCCACGAGAGCATTACATGGACAATCACGGATAATTCTGTTACGGACAGAATGCTCGAGAATTCCCTGATACATAAATTTAGACCATCACGGAAAATACGAAAGGGGACAAAACTACTCAATACTGAAATAAAGAAACATTGTGGTGTGGCAAATTACCAGCATTATGTAGAACTGAAAACAAATGTCATACGAAACTTAGTAAAAGACACTGATACTAGTGATAGTAGCAGTCTCAGTGATGTTGATTATGATATTATATATAATTCATCAAAACGAGCCAAATATAAAGCCAAAAATTTTCAGAATTATGTTTCTATCAGCGAGGAGAACTATAAAGGCTGTAACAGAAGAACTGTCATACATAAGAAGAAAAGCAGAGGCAGAAGCACAGAAAGAAAAGTACAAGTAAGAAAATCACCGCGATTGAATCCTATAGTGTCGGAGAAATGTATTAATACAGGTTGGCAAGAAGTTATAAACAAGAATAATAGTGTACCACATAAACGATCACGTACAAATATCTCGAATAATAAAAGAAATATTTTGAAGAGTAATGATCGTATTCATTTGAAAGCTCAATCTAATAAGCAGTCTCTTTCTCCACAATTAGATTCTCAAATCAGTTCAACGTCTAGTATAATGAAACCTGGAAATAAATATGTGAGACAGAATCACGAAGACTTTGATGCAATAGATAATAAATTAAGTTCTGAAGATAATAAGATATTCAATAAAACAAAACCAGTAAGTAAAAAGATACAAAATAAAAAAGATCAAAGTGCAACAATAAATAGATCAAATATTGAACTTGATTCTCATGGTTTACATCATCACTCATCTCTACCTCAATCGACAAGTTTAGAAAATAGTACTAATGCTGATAATGAATTAAATTCCCTTGTTAAATCAAAAGATAACACCAACGAATCAACTGCAGTAATCGAAAGTTCGATAAATGCGAAGAATTGTAACAGCGCTTATATAAATTACAAACCAAAATTGTTAAAAGATGTTAAAAGGAATTTAATACCAGCGCTAGAAAAAGTCGATTCCATGAATAATAGTAAAGATATAACAGATAAAAGTATAGGAGGTGAATTAAGTTATGATCAGTTACTTCCAGATATCGAAAAGTTTGATCAACACCACAGTACACCATTAAAGAAAATACAAACAAATGTACCTAATAAAGATTCGTCATCAGATGTTTTGCAGGACCAACAAAAAGATTCTGGAATTGATGAAGATTCGCAAGATAAGTTGGTCAAGATAGAAAAATCTAATAAGACTCCAATGAATCAAAATATGGAAAAAAACGCAAAAAAAATTCTTATTTCTTCTCTTGAACTGAAAAAGACTGACGAAGTATTCGAAACAATGGAAGATTGTGAAGAGGTTGTAAAGGATCCACAATTAAATGACATTTTAAGAGAACAAATTAACAAAGAAGAGAAGATACCTTCTGGAGAAGAAGAAATGAAAAATTCCCCCCAATTAAATCAAATTAATATGAACGTAGAAACAAATGAGGAAAATGAACATTTTGTAAAAACGAAAGGTTCAAGTGATATTCAAAAACAGCAATTGTTATCTCCTAAAAACTATATGAAGGAAGCTCATTCGAATCCTTGCAGTCTTATTCAAGAAAAAGAAGATGAAAGAATAGTAAAAATTCCCGCTGAAGAAGAAAAAGATACATCTCTCCAATTAAAAGAAGATAATGCAAAGGTCGATTTAGAAGTTCCTTCAATTAATCACAAAGGTAAGATTATTTTATACAAACTTATGAGATTAAAAATAACGATTTTTTTCTCGTAAAAAGAATCGTACACACACAAAGAATATACATATATTTGAAATCTTACAACAATGTTTCAGGAAAACAAAATAGCAAAGAAGAAAAAGAATCTTCTGGAGAAAAAATAAAAAATTTCTCTCAATTAAATCAGACTAGCAATGTCACAGAGATTCATTCGATAAATCGTGAAGATCGAACACATTTCGTAAAATCAGAAAACTCACTCGATGTTCAAAAACAGCAAGTGTTATCTCCTAAGGAAAATCATATAAAAGATGTTCATCTGAAATCTAACAATATTTTAGACGAAAATAATAGACAAACAAATGATGAGAAAGAAGAAAATAATTTCTTCCAATTAAATCAAGTTAATAAGAACGCAAAGGGGCATTTAATAAATCAAGAAGATAAAACTTGTATGAAACAGGATACACATGATACACAAAAACATGAAACTTTATTACCTAAAATTACGTGTACTGAAATTCTGAACAAAAAATATAAGCTAATATATAAGAAAGACGATGTCGTCAAAAGTAATATAGAAAAAATTGATAAAATTGATAGTACGAACATTAGCAATGAAAATCCTTCTATAAGAAAGAATACTTTAGTACATTGTCCAGATGTCGTTGATCATAATACTGACAATTTGCAAGAAACAGCGGTAAATGAGGAAGAAATTGAAACACCAATGACATTGGAAACTGATAATGAAGAGGATAATATGAACTATATGTCACCTCAAATTAAAAAGCGACTTCAGCAGCAAGCAAGATTGAATTTAGTAGTAAACAGCGATTCCAGTGAAAGCGATGACGAATATGTAACCACCAAAACTTCGCAAAAACATATTCAAATACAGTTCAAAGACAGTTCAAATACGAATCATTGCAATGAAGACGACAACTTGAGTAATGATGAAATCAACTGCGCTTCTAAACAAACCGAAACAGACATTTCATGTAGCGAAAATATTTGCATTCACAAAGAGGCTACATCAGCTATAGAAGAAGTAAAATTAGATTCAACGAATACGAAGGAAGACATAAAAGAAACTGAATCATTAATAAGTTGTACATATGAGAATAATGATTCATTGCAATCTGCAACAAACAAAAACCCACTGCAAGACACGCCAAATTGTGAAAATGTACATAATGATAACCAAAGTCAACTTAAAGAAAACTTAATTGAAAGTCTTCAGTTAAGAGTTTCTGATGGTGACGTTTCGTGCAATAGTAAAAAATCTATTAATGAATTTCAAGAACACAAACAACCTATGTTGAATAAGGAGAACACATGTACTAAAAGTAATCAGAATGAAGAAGCAATAAGCACTGAATTCAAGACAAGACATGAATCTGAACACAAGCAAAGTACACAAGCATCAATCAAATGTTCAAACATACATCTTAATAGCTCTTGCCAATATAGACCACGCAATGTAAGTAACTCTAAATAATATCAGAATTATTCCTCTTGGCTTGAAATATTTTAAGAAAATCATAAAGTTTCTTTCTTTTTCTTTCTCTACATTGAAATACATTCTTTTCACACATAACAAGATAGAATAAATTTTAGAATTCATTTAGGACAATTAAAAAATGAGTTAAAGCTATCAACAAAAAGTGACATATTTTGCACTAAATTAATGCTCATAAAATGAAATTTTTATAATGCAATATTTAAGAACTTATAATTAATATAGGGCGTTTGCCAACATTAAACAAGGATGAAATGATTTACTGTGTTACATTGTGTCCTTACTAGAAAACGCCTATTACCTTTTTAGTTACAACAACTAATCGAAGATCAAGACTTGTTTGTGGAAACAATACCAGCAAGTTTTACATTAACCAATCTTTCTAAAGACGAAGAAGCTTTTATCTTAAATGTTCCAAGCAAGGTATACTTGTATGTTTTTCTCTCTCTCTATATATATATATATATATCCTATATATACATATACATCCTATATATAAATCCTGTATACTTTTTAAAAATCAAAATTTATTAATTCATGATTTAGAAATCACTAAAGAAGTGCCATATATATCGCCAATCATCTCTATAAATACAGATTTCTAATTTTTTTATCTCGAGACACGATAATGTCTTGGTCTTAATTTTCTATTAATTAGTGAAAATAAAAAGTTGAATACTAATTGATTACGTATATGTAGTACGTATATGATTATGCAGCAAATACATTTATTTTTCAAAGTGGAAACGCTAGCTTAATATAAGAATAAAAATAATATAATGGTTTCATAAAAATGTTTTTTTTAGATCTGTCAAAGTTAATCTTTAAATTATTCTATAGGTACTGCAAAGCAATTTGCAAGGTCAGGTACTAACATTAAAAGAGAAATCGATAAAACTCAATGAATGTAAATACAGAATTGTATGCAAAGAAGTGGGTACCACATCTTGTATTTTTGCTACTGGTAAAAAACAGAAGCCTTATAAGATCAGTAAGTAATTTTCTTTTTTTAAGTAGGAATATTATATTTTACATATTTAATTGTAAAGTAGAAGTTTCCTCAATAAATTCCTCAATAAATAGAAGTAATATACATGTGTAGAAAAATAAGATGAGATATAAAATATATATAAAAAAATTATTGTTTTAGCAGCATATCATGTTTTATTTTTATTTGATATAGTATATCTTTCATTGTGAGAAATTTTCTATAAATCGTTATATTTTATTTTTTAGTAAATATTAAAAATATCAGTACTATTACCGTACGAGAAAAATTGCCACAAGATTCGAGAAAGTCAGATGAATTGAATTCTAATAGTACTGTTTCTTCTGTGCCAAAAGTACTGAACAAAAATCAACAAACAGATACAAAGAGAAATTCAAAATCGTTGAAAATCTTCAATAAGAAGCGCAAACGAGAAGAAAGTTCAGGTATGAATTATTAATTATCACAAAATACTGTAGCAAAAAATTTTTTGAAAAATTAAGTAAAAGAAGTTATTTGTAAATTTTTATTTTAAGCAATATTTCTAAGATATAAGGGTTTTAATATGGTCAATTATATACTATGCTTAGGCGATGAGTATAAGTGAACATGTTGAAGGACGCGCTCATCAGCATCCACTAATAATACCGCACACGTGAGACATAGATATGCGGCCATCTAAAATACATAGGGTGCGATTCATTTAGCACTACAAATGCTTGGAAGCATTTTTTGATTGGTCAATCAAAAGCTTCGAAGTATTTGTAGCATTAAGTAGACCGTAGCCTTAATCTGTAATTGGTTATATTTATAAACCTTTATTATATTTCAAAAAATACTGCTTCAAATAAAAAAACAAATAACTTTTTTACTTATTTTTTCGAGAACTATCTTGCTATATTATTTTGAGTCACGAATTTTGAGATACCTTGGCTGTGGTCAGTCTCGCTACAAATGCTTTGAAGCGTTTGATGGACCAATTGGAAGAAAGTATTTTACAAACTGACCAACTAAAAGACCAATTCAAAACATTTGTAGCATCGCGTTGACCGTGCCCCTTGTGTAAAGATTTTATATATTTTCCTATTCAAAATAATTTAATCATGCAACTAATCAAAGTTAATTTTTTATCGTTGTTTTCTTAAATAAAAAATAATAATTAACAAAAAAGGAAACATATGTAAATCTTCATTGATCTGATATAATTGCAAATATAATTCTTTCAGATCCTGAATTAATATCTGCAATGAAGAAGAGACAATTATTTTTATAAATTAAAAATGTTAAAGAAAAAAGAAACTAAAAACGATATATATACTTTATAGTTTTTGTATATAATGAACATATAAAAAAGATAAAATGAGAAAAGATTCAAATATAAAAAATTTATTTGTTTATTGTATTCCCTCGCATACCTACTATTTATATTATTTATTTATATAAATAAATGAACCATCTATATACTGTTCAAAAATTAAAAAAAGAATTCGTGAATGTATGCACGTACATACATATATGCACATACATTTTCTTAATGTTAGATTTACATATATATGTGTATATGTAGACAAATATATACATATATATGTATATATGCATATATATGTGTGTGTAAAATCAATTAGAGAAGAAGACCAATACAATTGTTTAAATCTTACAAGGAAAAGGACCTGTCCTTTATATGCAACTGCCCCCCTCCGATTTTGATGAGCTTTTAGTATGTTGTTCTCCAAACAAAAATAAGCGACACGTATTTTTTTATACGTGTCAAATCGCACTTTCAGAGGATGAAACATCCCTTAAATCGTGCGCTCCTAAGCAGGGGAGGGGAAGGATGATTGTTTACATTCTTTAAGAGATTAGTACGGCATATACAAATTTCTCTCACTATTCGTAATATACCTATATATCTATATGCCTCTTATGCCAAGGTATCCTCTACATTTACATATTATAGATTATTAATACATATTATATATTATATTTAATTTACTATATCTCTCCTAACCAATGCCGTCCCCCTCTTAATTCTTGTGGGGAATCACTTAGAACACTCTCCCCTACAACATATCTAAAGGTCATTGAAATTGATGAGGTGTCACCTAAAATAAATATTTACCAGTAATAATATTAATATTTGGAAAATATAAAAAAAATATTACGCACGTACGCGTATGTATATTAGTATACATGTTTAAAAAATAAATTTATTTTACAGAAGTTGTGATAAAAAAGTGCTGAGTAATGAAGCGCAGATCAAGAAAATTATCGAAAATTAGTTTATCAGAACAAAACATAAGCTTGTATGCAAAAGTAACGAAATTGACAACGAGTAAGAGCGGTGACATGAGTAAGAGTAGCAACATAAATAAGAGTAGGGAAATGAATAAAGTCGATGAGGGTTTTGAAAAAGAAACGCTATATATACAACTTCAATAAATATATTATTTCATATCTTCAAAAATAGCGGAAATATTCTAAGCGGACAGAGTTACTGCCCCATCCTGTATATGGATCCCCCAGGATGGAAGTTGAACATTAGGCTAATAACTTAATTCCGGAAAAAATCCATTGTTACAGAAACCTTATTAGAGATTCTATGTTCCATGTAGGAGATAAAGAAACGTATACCTATATATGTATATATATTGTTGTAATTTTACATTAAATTATACTTAGTTTATGTATAAATCGTTTATATGTAACAGCGAATTTTATAAATTATGTTATCTAAAAATAATAAATATTACCTAAAAATATTAAATATTATCTAAAAATAATATTTAATAATAAATGGTAAACTCTTTCAGATGTTGAAATTTTATCGAACATCTACAGTTATTTTTAACTAATAAATAAATTTTTTATTTTAGTATACACTAAAAGCACTAAACTAATCATTTTTTAAAACAAGAAATATATAAAGATTATGCGCGGACGCGCGCATATGCGAGTGTAATGTAAGTATATATACTTGTATGTATACATAATTTTTATATATTTCTTCTTTTAAACATTTATTTGAATAAATGTGTATCCATGCAATGATGATGAATTTACTACCATCTTATTTTCTTTTCTAAAAAAGCTTAATAAGCATCCCAGATAGCACAGGGAGTTAAAAAGAATTCAGTCAAATGTCATCAATCCTGAGCTCTTTTTCAGATGCAACAAAATTGTGTTATCTGAGATGTATTATGATATATAAATTCAATGCATGTGCTCGATTTTGCAAAAATATTAAGGGATTGCTGGAGCCGCCTGTATTACCGATAAAACTAGCATTTTTGACGTTTTTGTTCCTGTCAAATTTTTTTGTAGTGGTTTCACAGAATAAAAATTCCTTTTCCATGATTAAAATGTACACGCTAATACCCAGATAGCAAAGCATGTCTCAGCAAAATCGCACAAATCTATGATTGCTTATGATGCTGGCAACTTGCTATAGATTTGTCTTCTCTGTCCAAAGTTGGAGAAAAATAAAAAATCGAAACGTTCAAAGATTATTGGAATAAAAATTCAAGATTTTATTTTATTTTAGAAAAAACTAATGCAATTAATAACGTGCAATCCCTCTTAGAATTTGTATTTTTACAATTCATCTTTGGCATGGAACCAAATTGAAGGGATTTGAATTTACATCGGAGCAGTCACTCGATCTGTTTTGTGAGTTTGCAAGGAAATCTCCACGTGTCTAAACTTCTGTATTTCGCTAATGATGGCCCCAAATGTTGGCCGAATCGTTCGAAATTTTAACATAGTTTCTTAAATGCATCTATGTAAGAAATTGTCACAAGTTTTTATAATTGCATTTATGCTACAATTACCGCGCCTTACTCTCATTTGCCTTGTATTGTTAATGTTTTTTAAAAAGAACATCAAGAATTAATTTTGCGTACTAATTACCACGCCGATTCTCAATCGCCCTGGTTTTGGATTCTTTTTTTTTGTTTGAATTTAGGAGAGTCCGTTGGAAGATTATTTCTGGGATAAATTTTTTATTTATTGTTTTTTCTTACATTAATTTATTTTGGCTTTACACTAGAATCGTGAAACTTTGTGTTCTATTATTGATTTTCAAGAAAAAATTTACGAGGTAATTTGGAAAAAAATTGACTGATAATGTGAATTAACACAATTGCACAGGTATGATAGTATATTTTTTATTATCGTTTATTTTTATTTAAGCTGTATGACCAATTATTATGTTAAAATTATTAGAATTATTCAACTCCGTACAATACAACTAAATTCTGTGATGTGATTAAATGAACAACTATATTGGTTCTACAGATCATTAAATAGAATATTGTATGAGGGACTACCGGTTTTTTTGGATGAATTTTGTAGAAATGATTGTTCTATAATGATAATGTAATGGAACAATTTTAATGTTAGAAGTTTAACGATCTTAAAATTAAATATTAAAACATGCTGCAATAAGTGATAAAGTCGCTAATTAAAGTTTGTTAAAAAATTATTGATACTGAAGATGATCTGATTAAGGACCGAAACGTTTATTATGAATATTTTGTATTAAATATGAATAAAATTTAAATAATCGCTACCGTTATCTTGCGTTCGTGGTATATGCCTTTCAAACAAAAATTGTTATTTTTATTGGATCCACTTTTTACTTTGTTACTTGTTTATTTCTGAGATATTTCTGAAAACTTTAGGTGCTGTGTAAGTTTACTAAAGAATCTGAGATACTGAAAGTGATTTATTATATATATAATTTCTCTAAAATGATGTCAAGTTTTTTTCTTAAATTATGCGTAAGTAAATTCACTATTATTTCATCACTTTTTTTATAACTTAGAAGAGCGTACGCCTTTTCTGAGAAAATATTTTTCAAGCGGCTTAACTAGAGGATACAAAGATTGACTATTTTTAAATGACAAAATATCGTCGATTTTCTTAACTTCTTCATCAGATGATAAATCGGCAGTTTTTTCGATTGTATTATCAGGTGAGCTTTTTTCCGATGACGCTGTGGATATCACATGTACCGACAATTTATGTCGATCCTTACTATGTATATTTTCCTAGAAGATTTTATATGATAGATGTATTATATAATTTTTTAACTGTTAAAGTTACTTTTCTCAAAAATTGTCTCATAAAAAAATAATTTTATATTTTCTATTGTTATGTTGAAACATTTTCCTTTCGGAATAACATTAAATGATATATTTTGTACATAAGAGTAAATTGATTACCTTAAAGAAATTAAGTAATTGCTGCCGTGATATCGTCTTTAAGTAAGCCACTTCAATATTGACTCGATCAAAGTTATATTGTTGGGTCACAATCTCATTCCAGTACAAGGTACACCTTGCAATTAACATTTTTGGTTTTTCCAGACGTAATGTAGCTAAAGCTTTCTTGTTTTCTTCAAATTGCTCTTCTGTCATGGTAGATATATGATTCTGAAATGTAATTATTAGTAATATTAACTTTAATAAAAATACAGCCTTGTATGACACATAAAAAATGGAGTAATATATTTGATTATAATATAAGATATTGTGTGATCAATGTAAAAAAAGAATATATAGTTCCATTAATCAATGCATTAATATCTACTATTATTGTATACACTTGGAAAATTTATTAATCGAATGAATTATCGAATATAACACATGTCATATGTCCCAAACAGTTTACTCAAATTTTTGTGTCCATTTAACATAAGATGAATGTGTTAGAAAACAATACGGATATTATCTATTAAAAAACGATCACAAAAAAGATACTTATAAACTTAACACTGACACAGTTTATAAACAAAAGTATATTTTTTTAGTATAATTGACATTTATGATATATTAAATTAACAAGTATTTCATTCAGTTATCTTTGAATTTACGTTTTACAACACATTGTTTTTATGTTACTTGTTCATTTACTTATAAATTATGTCATTTTGGCACTAAGAAACATTGAATATCAATTTAACACAAAACTTTTAAATAACATAATCATTATATTAACACTCAAATATGTTAAAAAATTCAACGCAAACGGTTAACAAGAACATAAGTGGATTCCAACACAAATACACAATATTTTTTACCATGTAAGATATCATTATACTTACCAACATGGAGTCTAAAAATAAATTGATTCGTTTTTCGACATATTGCGGGTGTTTATCACTTTGTACAATGATTCGCAAGCCTTGTGCTCCACTCGATCTACGTATACCACTAAATACTATATAGCCTAATTGCTCCTTAGTTCTTAAAGTATTAAAGCAAGGTTCTGCAATAATTTGTGCTAAGAGCTCTAAGAGCA